ATCTCATGTAGAATCAGTAAATCTGTCAATTGCTTTGCTGCGATTCATCATATAATGAACCAGTTCTTTATTGCTACACTAGACTGCATTAAAATTATCTTGCTTTTGCCCAAATATATTATATATCTATTTCATTTTAAGTACAACTAATATACACTAGTTAGAATGAAATCACAACCCAATATTGTCCTATCTTTAAATAGTATTATAATCTTAGATTTGAAACACATTTCCTTGTCTATATACTTCTCTGGATAAAAATATAAGGGAGCTTGATATTTAATTAAAGTTCTTCGAGTTAATTATAATCTTTAATTAATATAATATCTCTTATATAAAATCAATAAAAATTGTCAATTCCTTCGTTATTCATGATATATTGTTTAAATAGTATCATAATGTTATGTTTGATACATATTGCTTTGTTTACAGTTTACATATACTTGACTTCTATCTAGATAAAAAAATCTGCCTGATATTAAATTAAGGTAGTGAGAATATTATTAACATGTCTTTCATATGCAGAATCTATGAAAATCGTCAACTGCCTCGGTACGATTCATGATTGCTGCGAGGTGGACACTTGTTGCACTGCACGATCCTAACCTATATCTATCCCAGTCATTACGCACGAAACAGCACAATAACAAATTGATTGCGTTGTACAAGAATACGAGACCGATGAATCTGTTCACGTTCGCGACGTCGCGAATGCAGACTTACCAAATCGTGCATTCCAAGGATTTCTGTAAACCGTGTATCGCCTCGCAGATCCGATCGATGTCACTCGGCTGGCTTCGATTTGCCATTATTTCACTCACAAAACTCGATCGATACACATAGATGGATATGTTAACACGCGATCAGCATCCAAAAATATACAGTTCTCGAATAATTTTCGAGGTACCCTCATAGGAGTTTTTAAAGCGCTCTAAACTTTTCCCGTTCACGCCTGTTCGAACTAACAAAGCGAACTTGACAATGCGCGGGAACGATGAGACACCACGAAAGCCGTCACCGGCGCTACCGCCACCGCCACCGATCGTTACGTCATCGATAAACGCACCGACCGCCAAATCGAAGTACTGTGAACTACTCACGTGATTCATGACTAGGGCCGGTATTTATAGTCAGTTCTTATTTTAAGACCGTCTTAAGTCATATCTTAAGTCGCTAATACGGCCCTCTGATTACTTCATAACATTTTAAGACTGTACTTAAGACGGTCTTAAATATAAAATCCGACTATAAATACCGGCCTTAAGATCGATTCTTCATAGATGGTGCTGGGATCACTATTCATAGGGCATAGGCCGCGTTCTATAAAGCGCACGATAAGCATAGGTCCGGTTTTTCATTTGTTAGTTAACTTTTGTCTTCTGTGATGATTTCCTTACGCCCTCCAATTTATTATTGCTCGTATCAACTCAACGCGTGGAGCTGGGATTTATCTGGGAACCATCAATTATGACGTAAGAGGTTTGTAGGAATACAAGTGTTTTATTGTGCATAATGGCGGTCGAATTTAATTTTACCGAATTTCTTATTAATGTTATTATAATAGTAGCTCTATATGGGCTTATAACATTTTGTATTAATTTTTCAATTAGTCATCGACTGTACGTCTTAGGAGCGATCGAATATCTTATATTCTTACTTATATTAAATGTATTTCATGCATTTAATAGTAATAATAATAATAATAATAATAGAAGAAGAAGCTGGTTGACTCTTGTGATTATTAGGCTTATATTTTGATAATGTAAAAAATTGTGTCTTTTCTATCTATAGTTAGTCACAAACTGATGGTTTTGTAATGAATAATTTTTAAAGTTGCCACTACAAAAATATTAGTGATTAATCACAGCTAGAAAAAAAAACGATTACATTATCATCAAGTTAAATGAGATTAAATCTAAATTACAAGTTAACCTAATAATGAAAAACTGGGCCATAATCGTATTATTTTATCCTTATAATGTTGTTCACCAAATGTCAAAAACAAGAATAAAATGATACATCACATATTTGTTTTTCTATTGCTTGTGCTTTTCAGTTATGTCTCAGGCTGAAATCATTTTATCCTTGTTGTTTATCAAATATTAAGTGAGGACAAATGATGCTCACAAACGTTTTGAGTGCCAAATGGGACGCAATCATAATTCGATTTAATATTTACAACAATATTAAAAGCGCAATTTTATCGATACGAATGCAGACTGCAATGACGATCCCTTACACTGCATCTGACTTCTGAGTGTTTTTCAGGTAATCTCCTTCGATTTATAGTAAAACTCCCTTTCCAACGATAGTATTCGACGAGAAACGCAAATCGATAAAGGTATCTTGAAACTGGAGAATAGAATCTTTTTGTATTTTTTGCAAATTTTACACAATCATTTTACAAATTACACGCACTTTACACACATATATTATTTATGCACGCATGCATAAATAAAGGTATTTCTAGAACGCGTTTGGCTACTACAAATTACTCTACTGTGCGTGATTAAAATTTAATTTCGGAAACGTCATAAATTAAATCACAGGAAACACGATTTTGCAATTAACAACTACAGTTTCTTCGTAAATTGCTTCTTTAATATAATTGATGACCCTAGTTAGCATATTAATTAGAAATATCTCTCTTATTCTAATAACAAGATTTATAATGAAAAATTGTATATTTTTATATGCTGAGTTGTTGAGGCTAATAGCCATTATTAGTCATATATATTCATTTGGTAATATAATTCAACGATTTATTCAATAAATCGGCACGTAGAATTCTATTAACTATTACTAATAATAGTCTCTTCTCTAATAATTTCATGTACTTAATTAATATGGAATGAATGAACTCAAATATAGCCGGATTAATTATCGTACTATATCATTGATAAATAATACATATAAAATATTGTTTGTTTTAAATTTATATATGTACAAGATATTTCTAACGTGATTACTGACCTATTTATCTCTTTGAAGTTGAAAAAAAAGTATGTTCAAACAAAAGTCATATAGTTTAAGGGGGCATAAATAATAGTAAAATCAATTTTTGAAAAAAAAAAAACGATTTTTCATGATTATATGAAGATCATGGCTATTTTTGTAAATGAAATTATATGATTTTTTTACATAATATAATTCCTCTAATTGTTGTTGATAAAAAATTATTGAAATAAGTATATTAACTAAGTCAATAATTTATTAGTTATTACATATTTTAGTTTACTAATTATTATATATTTGATTCTAGCACATATTGATTTGAAATATAAAATATCTCTCGTAATATGTATAATTATTAATTTTTTTGTACGTTTATAAAAAAAATTAATATGAGATTTTATATAATATTAAAATGCCGAATTAAAATACTTACAAAATATCTTGTAAATTATTAACTTTTTTAAAATCTTTGTCTTAATATTTTCATATGTTGCAGAATAATTAGAAAAATCATATTATATAAAAAAGTCATTTGATTCAGTAAAAAAAATAGCTATGGCTTTTATATGATCATAAAAAATTGATTTTCTGTCATTTATGCTTCGTTCATGCAACTCTTTTGTCTGAATATATTTTTTATTTGATCTTGCAAAGATAAAAGAGATAGTTGCGTTAACAAATTAATCATTCAAAGTCATCAATTCTTTGAAATTTATTAAAACTCCCGTTTGATAAAATACTCGAAATTGATATATTTTGCCCATAAAATATACCTATCATTTTTGACGATTTTAAAAATATTACGAGAAAAACTGTGGTAATATTGTGGTTCGATTGCAACAATGTCGAAAAGTTAATTAAATTAAATTTTGATGGACTAAAAAAACTAAGAAATTTAAAGACACCATTTTTAAACACTGTTAGACAATATATTACGAAATTAGGTTGCAATAATATACATACCGATTCGATAATGATGATTGAGTCATGGTACAGTTATGATTTATATATCAATTTTACAATGTAGAGATTAGGGGGTGCGATGGCGTTCCATGGCGTTTTGCGAATAGGAATATAATCTTGCCCGCAGCTAGCCAGGATTCATACTGACGCACTCATGCATAAGCCATTTACTGGTTTACGGAAATGTCGAGAGCGCTGCGCGACTCGCTCTCGAAAACGAATTTATACATTATTCGCCGGCGATTATATAGGATGCCGCGTTTCGCAGCACAGAGGCCGCTCTTGACATGGGTCGTTTCAATTATTCGTATGCCTCCGCGATGCAACCGATAGGAAATTTTCGAGCTTCCGTAGTAGTTAACCATGCAGGCGTTTGCAGCCGCCTTATGGGAAAGCTCTACGTATATGTAGAGATGTGGTCGTTTAATATGAAGTTTCAATGTGACCAGGCGAACACATTTAAAGAGAATTATTAATTTAAAGGGAATAGCTAAATTTTCAATTATAATTATAATTATTTAATAATGCATAAATTCTAAAGATATAAGAAATCTTATGTTTCTTATTCTTTATTAATATAATAGAGAAAGAAGTATTAAAGTATTTCTTTATTATTATTAAAGGAATACTTTATGAATGAATATATCAGTACACTATAATACTTTTGAGACCTCCACGGATATTTTCTTTAATGAAACTTCTCGATCTGCGGATATTATTTCCGTCTCTATACATCATGCCAACGTTTCGTGAACATTGCAATTTACTTGCAGTTTACTTTATCAGGGCAAGTATCAATATCGAGTTGCTTCTCGCCTTGATGAAGTAAACTGCAATATTAACGAAACGTTGGCATTTAACGGTGTATCGAGATAACCTGCAACTGTGTAGCTTACATTGATATCAATACATCTTAATATTAACTGCTTCAATCTAATATTATAGACTTCTCAATTCCATTTCTGCCACTTTTACTTTGTCAATAAAAATGAATTAAAAATAAAAATATTTTTAAGAATTTCTCATTTATTTTGCTTTAAGCGTATATCTTTCTAATATGAAATGTTTTTTTTTTTTTTAAGGAGCTTTGTTCCAATGTGCAGCATTAGCCACTGACGATTTCGACGTACACGTGAAGTATAACGATGTAGCACGGTTTCTCACGGAACGACCTGTTGATGAAGTATGGGTTGGTTCTTCCTTGCCACTATTTTGTTGCTTTCCTTATGCGGTAAGTATTAAAGCGATTAAAAATTCTTTAATTATAAGAATATTACCAGGATATTACTTTTGCGATTGCTTTCATAAATAAGCATATTAACGAAACATAAATATATCAATATAAAATCGGTATTTGTAGTTTGCATAATTTGTGAGAAGAAAAGTTGTTCATAAATTCTATTAAAATTTAAATTTAAAAATTATTTTATATTTATGTTTGAAAATAATATCAATTTCATTACTTTTTTATAATTTCACATTTAATAATTAATCTAATGAATTGTAATTCATAACGTGTATATCATAAAATTGGTATTTTGTATTTTACATAATTTGTAAGAAAAGTTGTTTAAAAATTCGATTAAAATTTAAATTTAAAAATTATTTTATACTCACGTTTGAAAGTAATGTCGTTTAATGTTATTTTTTGTAATTTTGCATTTGATAATTAATTAATCCAGCGAACTGTAATTTATAATGAGTGCTAATTTCTGAAATCACAAAACGTTAAAGTTTAATTTGTTTGTATAATGATTATTTGCGAAATTACGCAATCAAAAATTCAAGCGCCACCAAGAATAAAATAGGCGTAGGTCTAAAAAAAGCAATTTTTGTGATGATTGGTTAAAACAAAATTGGTCACTATGCGGATTTAATAACTAGCCCAATTTCAATACAGACTGTTGTAGGTTGATCCTAAATTAGACTTCGTTTAAATTTATCGATTTTCTATTCATGGTAGATTTCTGGTGTTATTCCTCGCACCGCGATGATCCAAATTTTAATCTACATATGCAGATTATACTGATATTACCGACGTAGAATATTAAAAAAAACTTTCTTTATAAAATTTGCATTTTTTTTATACCGCTAACACGATTTTGCATTAAGGATGCTGCGAAACCGTCAATCACATTTTTCGCAAATCTGACGGTAAATTAATTTTTTAAGTTACTTTAAAAGAAAAAGAGAGCCCCTTTGACACTTTTGGCACGTATGCATGCGACGAAAATGGCACTTGATATAATCGTTGATTGATGTTTTAGTTTAAATTTATATTCTAATTAAACCTCCTTTACACGCGTAAAATATAAGTGTGTTCTTAAATCTTTTGAGAAGTAAATATCATAGATCAAGTAAATTTGGAATAATAAAAAGTGCATTTCAGTTGCTATGAAATGTTATCATTAAAAAATTACAATTGTTATCAACCAAATTTATATTAACAATGACGATATTGCACATTTCTTAATTAAAAAGGTCCCATTAATTAAATTATGTATTACTAATTTTACATATTTATTTTATAACTAAAGATTCTTAATTGTTACTTACAATTGTGAAGCTACTTGAAGTATCTCATTTAATCATTGCAATTGTAATTAAAAAATTTAATATATGAAAATTGATAAACAATATTTGATAAATAAGAAAAATATTTTTATTTTTATTTGTGTGTAAAAATTCCGTTAAAAATTTCTGATTATTCATGAAAACAAAAACCTGAATATTTATTTCTGTTTCCACATGGAGAAGACATGGTTCACTAAATTCGCTATGCAGAAAGGACGCAACAAGTTTTATGTTCACTGAACCTCAATATTCTCATATTTAAAGGAATAAAATTATTGAATAAACAAAGTTGCCATTTGTAATATTTTTTCTACTTCAGCAAATTTTACTTGTTTTTTTTTTATTTTTTGTTATTCGTAAAAATTAATATTAGTATAAAAAAAAATTGATATTAGCAAAACAGATTATGATATTTTTTATAAAAATAATTGCAATTAACATTTATTTATAAATCCTTCGATAAATAGAAGAACATGCGTGAAATTCAATATGGGATAAAAATCTTTTTTCTTATTTATCTGATATCCATTTATGTATCGGTTTTACAGATTTGATAAATTTTAATAAGAAGAAATTCTTTTAATTAAAATGATAGACACGCACGCATGCGTCGTGGGAAATATTGTAGACGTCGTTTTTTTTCCGACGGCAAATTTATCACGCTTATTTAAGTCTAAAGGAGTAAATACGGCAAGGAATAAATAATTGTTTCTTTATGAATTTGTATAATTCAGAATTTAATTGCAATATTATTTGGAGATAATGGCGAATATAATTATTGTAATATAATGAATAAGTACTTTATATTAATGGTGCAATTAGAGGTGCGTAATTAACAACTACATAATTGTAATAATTTAACACATTCAACGATTTAACAAAATCATATTCGTAATTATAGAATTTCGATTTATATCTTCTCTTTTATCATTGTTGTACTCAGCATCGTCTATTTAGTTGAGTGGTGCCGAAAATGCGATTCATCACTCATCCCTGTAAATTGGCCGTCAATCCTTTACATCAATGTCACCTCTCGATTTAACGGATTGAAATTCTCTTCGATCCTTAAGTACATGCATTAGCTATGAGGGAGACACTCCGTCGATATAGAGAGGAAAAAGACCACTCTGATACTTTTATATTCTGATTCTCGATTTACTGTTATTGAATTGTCTCCTGTCTTCTAGTGATTACGATTATTCGTGACCGTTAATTAAAGCGGGAATAATCGATAAAATATTAATGGAAATCTAGTGAAGCAGTTTATACGATCCTCTGATCTCTTTGCATATTCACCTACCTGAAAAGTCCTTCGCACTGATACCTTCTGCTCCATTACACTGCTCTTTCACATATCTAACGCTAAGATCGATTCTCTCAGAATTCTGATGAGATTTGTTTTATATTTGCGTACACAAACAAACTTCGCCAAATTCGGATAAATCGGGTTTCTCGAATGAAATAATGTTTTTCTTATT